CCGAGCATTCTCAGGAAATACAGCCTCTTCTGTGCCTTCTTCATTAGCATGTTGGCATTTATAGTCCATGAGAGGTCCTCTGAGATGTAAGTACCCAGAAATTTAAAACTACCAACTCTCTCCACTTCCTCACCGTTTATGTACAGTGGTAAATGTACATTTCTCTTCCTCCTAAAATCAATTGAGTTCTTTAGTTTTTTTGATGTTAAGTGTGAGATGATTTTCTTTACACCAAAGTACATACATCTGTTTGTCAAAGCATGAGATTTTCTCAGCTCTTGTATCTTGCAATCATGGATTTCACTTTCAAGCCCATGGATTTCACATGACAAAGGCAATCATGGATTTCACTTTCAAGCCCATGCTCCCAGGGGTTTGCATCATAGGAGGACTAAAGTCACTGGCAGAAGCCACTGGCAATGGTGCGGCTAAAAAATATTGTAAATAAATAAATAAATAAATAAAGTGCTGTTCGCTTTTAACAATATGGTCTGTGTACCATCCAGCCCCTTGGTTCCCAACCTTGGATCCCCAGATGTTCTTGGACTACAGCTCCCAGAAATCCTGGCCAGCACAGCTTGTAGTGAAGGCTTTTGGGAGTTTTAGACCAAGGTTGGGAACCACTGTTCTAACTGGACCTGCAGTGACTAGCAATAAGAGACTAATTTCAGTATTGTTGTGCTGCCTTGACACAACATCTCCTACATGCTTGACATTAAATAGTTGTCTGCTGTTCGTGTTACATTGATATGTTTTAACAGGAAATGGAATGGCACAAAAAACCCCACAAATGATGGACACAGATGATTCATTTTTATTTCCTCCTTTGTACCTTCACTAGATAAAAGGAGGAAATGAAGGAGCTCTCTGTGCATAGCAGGGAGTTATTCTGTGGTGGATCTCAGATGAAAGGGAGAGAGCTTACATGTTTGATTTTTTTAACCACAGTCATCTCGTTTGCATTTATAGCTTAAGGTTACTCAAGCAACATTTTGATATTAAAATGTTCCTGTATTTCTCTTAACTTTCTTTTACTTTATTTCTTGGCTGTTAACTTTGCCTGCATGACATTCTTTCCCCTTGCCCTATAGGTTTGCCATTGGAAATGAGGCTACGGGCTGGTGCAGTGATGGCTGCCAGGCCATTGTTGATACTGGAACTACTCAGATCACAATCCCAAAGCAATACTTAGGCACCTTCTTGCAGGCTGTGGGAGCTGAAGATTACAATGGTGAGGTAGGTGGAACAAGGAACCAGGAGATGCATGAGAAATACCGTATGACTACAAATAACAGGGGAAGGAAGTATATATCATTTATATTTACAATATACTATCCAAATATTTGCATTTACACCCAGGGTCAAGGCAGTCCTAGCTGAATGGATGGGGGTTTGTCATCGCTTTCCTCCCAAGAAGCAGGCGTCTTTTAATTTCGTGGCTGCTGTCTCCATCTGCAGTGATCATGGAGCCCAAGAAAGTAAAATCTGTCACTGCCTCCATATCTTCCCCTTCTATTTCCCAGATGAAAGGGAGAGAGCTTACATGTCTGATTTTGTAACCACAGTCATCTCGTTTGCATTTATAGCTTAAGGTTACTCAAGCAACATTTTGATATTAAAATGTTCCTGTATTTCTCTTAACTTTCTTTTACTTTATTTCTTGGCTGTTAACTTTGCCTGCATGACATTCTTTCCCCTTGCCCTATAGGTTTGCCATTGGAAATGAGGCTACGGGCTGGTGCAGTGATGGCTGCCAGGCCATTGTTGATACTGGAACTACTCAGATCACAATCCCAAAGCAATACTTAGGCACCTTCTTGCAGGCTGTGGGAGCTGAAGATTACAATGGTGAGGTAGGTGGAACAAGGAACCAGGAGATGCATGAGAAATACCGTGTGACTACAAATAACAGGGGAAGGATTTATATATCATTTATATTTACAATATACTATCCAAATATTTGCATTTACACCCAGGGTCAAGGCAGTCCTAGCTGAATGGATGGGGAATGTGCTAATCTTGCTCAGGGGCATTAGATTACAGTGGTGCCTCGCAAGACGATGTTAATTCGTTCCGCAAAAAATGTCGTCTTGTGAAAACATCATCTTGCGAAACGCAGTTCCCCATTGGAATGCATTGAAATCTACTTAATGCATTTCAATGGGGAAAAATCGTCCCTAGAAAACATTGTCTTGCGAAACGCGGTTCCCCATTGGAAAGCATTGAAATCTACTTAATGCGTTCCAATGGGGAAAACTCGTTGTCTTGCGAAAATCGTCCCTAGAAAATATCATCTTGTGACGCTCAACAGCGATCGCAAAAAACAATTGTCTTGTGGATTAATAGTCCTGCGAGGCAATAGTCTTGCGAGGCACCACTGTACATGTGACAGGAAAGCACATGTTGGACTAAACAGTTATGGAACTTTCCAGAATGCCCTACCTCAAAGAGGTGTTGTGAGGATAATATAGGGAGGAAGAGGCCCACATACACTGCTTTAAATTCTTTAGAGTAAATGTGGGATATAAATGTAACAAGTGAATAAAAACTTATGCAGGTAAACAAGTTGGCAACGTAGTTATGCACAGCATGGATAAAAACTAACAAGTGCAGTTTTTTATTAATTTTGTTCATTTTAATTTATGAAAACTAATTTGCTTTATTCTTAAAAAAATTCAAGAGCAGCTTACATCTGAACAGCGAAATACTGTACAAATAATTTTACATCAAAACAATAGCATACAAATAATAAAGAAGGTAGTCCTAATTGAACTGGCATGTTTTGTTTATCAGTCTCTTTCATAGCAGCGGGAGGATTTCTGTTCTGCCCCTTTTCTAGCTTTCTCACATATTACATCTGTATTCTTTCATAGTTTTTGGTGAATTGCAACAATGTCCAGAACATGCCCACCATCACCTTTGTCATTAATGGCTCCGAGTTCCCACTGCCTCCTTCTGCTTATGTCTCCAATGTAAGTACATAATATTGCTTTAAAATGTGCATTTTAAACTGTGAGAATTGAGAGTTGCACTTATCTGGAGACTGTGGCAATATAATTAAACATCCCACAGTCACAGTTAACAAAATTGTGTTTCGTATGTCTCAAACACAGAATATTTCTCCAGGCATTTTTTGGGTGGGTGGGTGGATTTGCTCTTCCTTTTTAAGACTTCCTGTTGTTGCGTCATAGCCATCTGAATTATTTTCTTTAATTTGAAAATGTAAAGATCTCATAGACTAATCTATTCTGGCTTTTCAATCTTAAATCAAAGATGTGCCAGTTTTAGGAAGTTAGGGATAGGCTCCCTTCTGTTGGCAGAAAGCTTGCACAAACGCAATCCTTTCTTTTCAGAGATCTGCCAACAGAAGGACCTGCTGGCAGAACTGCTCTAGTGACTAAGATTTATCAAATCTTAATAAAAATGGGACAAAGAAAGGGCAGGGCAAGGGAGAAGTCAAGTTACGGGGCATCCAAATCTCCTCTAGCTCAAGGACACAGCCACTACACTGGTCTAAATATAGGCCATGGTGAGCGTAGCCCCAAATAATTTCCAACACCCCTAGGCTGGAAGGGGTTTGACCTCAGTTGACCTAATGTTGGTTCTGCTGGTCCTTGGCCATCTTGGTCAGTTAGAACTGCACTGTTTATAATGAGAGAGCAAGAGAGAGTGTGACTAGTGGAACCTACACAACAGTACAGATTATGTCCACTGTGATGGCCCTGTGTGCACTGCAGTCAGCTCTGAATCTAAATTTGTATATCATCAGAGGGGATGGTAGAATGTTGCACATCTAATGTATTTCCAATTCACATATTATGTCCTTGAATACAGATCCTTGGCAACAGTACCTTCACAGTGATACGTTGCAATTTATAGGTCTAGAGATGGGAGGTTCTACTCCTGTCATGGGATCTAATCAGGACCTGCCTTCAGACTTCTTTTTAAAAACTGCTGCATGACATTTCCCTCCCAGCATAGGTGAAACTTAAGGCATTTACTTTTCTTTTACAGAATGATGGGACCTGTATTGTTGTAGTTGAGCCTACATATTTGCCTTCCCCGAATGGAGAGCCATTATGGATCCTGGGTGATGTCTTCCTTCGGGAGTATTATTCCGTCTTTGACATGGCCAACAACCGGGTGGGCTTTGCGCCCTCAGCATAAGCAGGGCAATGCCCAATTTTTCCCTTAATGTTGCTGCTCCCTTGGACTCATACAATCATTTAAAATCAAAATTTAGAATAAATTCCATGACGTTGAAGTTTTCCTTGTGGTTATTCACGAAGTATTTATGACGTTTTTGATACATAGTTGGGATTATCAAAATGTTAAAAGCTATGGAAAGGGAAGGAAGAAATAAAAGAAAAGAGCGATTGGGAAGAATAAAAAAGAAGGAAAGAGGAAAAGGATACACAATATTATGCAGATATAAATTGACATACAGTTAACCATAAAAAGTTGGATCTTACATAGAATGTAATAAACAATCAAAGCAATTTTACAGTGCAATAGTGGAAATGTAAATTGGGTGGAATTATTTAATGATCCAAATATGGTTCCAGCCATGCCTCCCATTGTGCATATCCTTTATGTTAAACTATATGTTGGAATTTTTTTTTGCTCTACTGCTGAATTTTAGCAAAGTGATGGTAACCCCTAGTCCCAAGATGTTTCGTTACAATAAGAGAACCTTCCAAGAGTGCACTTTTAACTTGAAAACACAATGCATACTAGTGATGAAACAGGCCGGTCTCTGCGCTTAACTCCAGTGGGATCTAGCAGACGGCCACCCTTCTGCCAAGTAGGGGAAAACCTGGACCGCAAATGTAATGCATGACACTGAGCCCCAGAGGCCTGGGATCACTCTTCCTTTTCTCTCTATCAAACTGTCATCAACCCCAGGAATCTGGTTAGGAACCTTTTATTCTCTGCACATGCTCAGGCACCTACAAGGTAGTTCTGATCAATACTGGCTAGGCTAGTGGATTTAGTTTAATCTGGGCTTTTCTGCAAAAACATCAGCCAGACATGAAGTCTAACTAAAAAGCTTTATTCAGTTCTTCACAAAACCTCCAGATGATGAATGTGGGCTATTGTGTTTCTGTACCCACAATTCAAAAATCTAGGAAATGGCCCAATATTGCAGCACAATAGCACGATTGCGTTGCCAGCAGGAAAAAGGATGCCAAGCTTTGGACAGTAAAGGGCAGCCTGGATGTTGACAGCACCAATGGCAACAGTGAGGATGGTCTACAGCAGTGGTCCCCAACCTTGGGCCTCCAGATGTTCTTGGATGACAACTCCCAGAAGCCTTCACCACCACCTCTGCTGGCCAGGATTTCTGGGAGTTGAAGTCCAGGAACATCTGGAGGCCCAAGGTTTGGGACCACTGGTCTACAGGATGCCCACTTCTGCTCACACTCATTCACAAAGTGACACTATGCAAGGGAAAATTCCAGAAGCGGACTCCTTTTTTCCCATCAGTTAACCACTTCTCACCCAAACAGAAAGCAATTGTCAGGGCTGATTTTCAACAAACTTGAATGGTAATTAACACTAGTTGAAAAACAATATTTAAAGGGAAATAAAAGGTAGGAGACAAAAATAGGAAAGACCTATGAGGTCGCAAACACAATTAAAATGAAAATAATATGAGATAGGCATACAGACAATGCAGCAGACAACACATACTGGGTTTTCAAAACAATAAAACTCACTGCCAATGGCATTTTCCATTGAAGGTCTAAAGCTTACTTGATTCTCAGTCCCCTTCATTTGGGAGCTGGCTCTTAGCCCATTCCTCTCCGTCCCTCTCCATATTAGGAACAGACTTACTTTCACTCCAGCTTCATTCAGACCTTTCTCTGGGTTTCTCAGCTGGCATATGTGGCTGTGAAAGTACTCCCTTTGTCTCTGTTCAAGTCATTTCCTTTAAAGCTCTGGAAATTTTGGTCCCTTTGTGAATGTTGCAACACACATCTCAGAGGAAGTTAATTGAAGTGGGGGCTTGGAATGCTTGGAACCCACATTTGGCCAGGGGGAAGTCCTTTGAACAAAATGTCTGAAGCACCTTGTATGTTGTTTCACCATTTCAGACAGGTGGGTATCTGGCCCCCTTTGGCTCAAAGCTTCTTTCTGTTACACAAAGTTCTTCTGCTACACAAAGTTTCATCATGTACACAGCTGTACAACATGAAGTCTTAAGCCTTGATACCACACCTGAATGCAATAAGTACAGTGACTCAGGTAAAATCAGACATTTTACATTTAACTATAAATGTAAACATTAATAAAATCTCAACAGAAGAGAGACTGGCTAAAAGGCTACCACAGAGATTCGTGGCATTTTTGTAATAAATAAAGCCAAGATAAATTTTACATATGAATAGAGAGTAATAGATGTAGTTTCCCAATCAGATAATTGAAATCCATAGCTTTTTTGAGCACACAAAATTCATTACAAATTATAATGCTTGTTCCTTTAAAAAATTATTGTGCTGATTTCATTGATGGCATGGGTGACGTGGCCGTGGTTCATCATGTCTCAAGCGTAATGTTTTGAAACTTTCTTTCCCATAAGCTGCCACTTCATCCACTTCATTATATTGGCTCTACAGATGGGAAAACAAAACAAAACAAGAAAGATCCTGCATGGATAAAGAATGACCTTGAGGGTAAATAAACAGAAAAGATGCAAATACAAAATGGCCACTTTTACTGTATTCAAATAAAAGGCTTTAGTTGTCTAACACATTACCTGGTAAAGCTCCAGTGCACTGGAGGGTTTTCTTTGTGTTTGTCCTTAGAAGTCTCTGAAGCTAATTTCTTTGAATTATCACACCAAGTTCTTTAAATTGTTTATTCAAGGTATGACAGATAGCTTTCATTGTTCATTTTTATGTTTATCTGCCCCTTTACTTCATCTGGCATTGGAACTGATACAAGTAATTTTTCAATCTGATACCTTATAATAATATAACATGCCATTTAATCTGTATGAAAGTCTTATAGTAGTGATTCCTGCTCCTTTAGAGGGAAAAAAGGGCAATAGTGAAACATGGAGGCAGGGATCGGTTATTTCCCCACAATCCAACATCAGTTTGAAAAGGTACATCTGAGAGATGTCTTGTTTTTAAACACCTATAGGAAGGCAGACACAATCCAGTCTTCTCCATACTGTACTACAAATTTGTATTTGACTGGTATAAATGAGCTCAATTCATTTCTAAGAGCGAAAAATAGCCAAGATTAACAGATATCCTAATATAGTATATGGAATGGCTTTTTGGTTTTTTGTTGTTCTTTTTAAATCAAATGCAGGAGAAAGTGAAGCTAACAGATTTTCCTTCTGTTTGTGAAGTTTTATTGGTCTAAATTGGTTGTTTAAGTCAGTGAGTTAGGTATCTGATATCAGAAGTTAGATTCCCTGCTGAGCTCCACAGCAAAAGAGCCAGTCTGTGTGGCCTTCGACAAGCTGCACAATCCCAGGGCGCCACTCCCCCCCCCCAAGAAGGGACTGGCAAACCACTTCTGAATGCACTATAAATAGGAAACCCTGAGAAGCATTGTTATAAACCAGAATCCAAATCTTGGAAATGTATCAGCTGGATAAATCAGAAGCCAATCGAACAAGTGGAATCTTTTTGATATTTAGGTTTATTGTGTCATTACAAATTAAATTGGTCTTACCACCGTAAGGTGGAGGTCTCTTTGGCTATGGATCCACTTTCTGCATTAGCCACTTCCATTTCCATAGTGGACATCAATATGTCCCTGCTGCTCTCCAGGTTTTCCAGGCAAAAATCACTAATCAGCTCCTCTTTGGGGTCCCTATTTGGACTGCGGTGGCCAACTGCGAGATAGACCAGGTAGCAGCCTCCTTCCTGCACAAGATTTTAGGCATCCCGAACACGATCAGACTGGCAACATTATTAAGCAAATTTGGGCTCATTTTCCAACTACCCTTGCTTGGTTATCAACTATTAAATTTTGGCTTCATCTACACTTTCAGAAATCCTCTCAATCCCTTCTGACTGATCTATTAAGTGATCCTTTTATTTCCAATTGGTACGCTCTAATCAACTTTTAAATCACTTCAAAATGTATTAATCTGGACTCGATGATAAATTGTGGAGAAACTCAACTTTACCATATTATTCACCAAGGAATCTGGGATATTGAACTGCAGATTCTGGCGGCTGACTTGAATTTAATTTGCTCTCCTCATTTCTATGGTTTGCCTCCCCTTCTGTAACTGGCGCCAATTATTTCACCAATCTTATGAACCCATTGTGGCACCAGGTTTTTGCCAGATTTAATATTTTCCCCTCTGCTGTTCTTTTTGGCAGATGCTGTAAGATCCCCTTTAAAAACCATTAGTGTAAGCATTGCCTAATGGAACAAAATCCCACATATTCTTCTTCACTGCCCTAAATTTAGCGAGCCCCATCAACTACTACTTAGCACTATTATTTCAAATTTCTATGGCTCCCTTGAGAGCTTAATCCGAATGATGTTAGCAGATAATCAACCTGATTGGACTGAGTGTGTAGCTGAATATTTTGCTGTTGTAATGAACTAGGCTGACTGTGCCAAGGAGCCTTGACGTAATTTGACCATATTTATCGTACTGTAGTAGAAAACAGAATCTTGATTGTATGATTATTGGGTTTAAATGCCAATAATAATAATAATAATAATAATAATAATAATAATAATAATAATAATAATAATAATAATAATAATAATAATAATAATAATAATAATAATAATAATAATAATAATAATAATAATAATAATAATAATAATAATAATAATAATAATAATAATAATAATAATAATAATAATAATAATAATAATAATAATAATGAAGAAGAAGAAGAAGAAGAAGAAGAAGAAGAAGAAGAAGAAGAAGAAGAAGAACAACAACAACAACAACAACAACAACAACAACAACAACAACAACAACAACAACCAGAATCAACAGTACCTAATTTTCCTTATTAACAGAATTAATAGAATTTGGCTTGAGCAAAAGTGAGCCTGGTACCAACTTCATTTATACTAAGTTTTATGGCATCCTGGGTATGGCCTACCCCTCCCTGGCAGTTGGAGGAGCTACTACTGTTTTTGAGACAATGCTGCAGAAAAACTTGCTATCAGCTTCTTCTTGAGCTGGTAAAAACATAAATTTTCCTAT